TGTGTGTGTGTGTGTGTGTGTGTGTGTGTGTGTGTGTGTGTGTGTGTGTCTATGTGTATATTACCATGTGGATACCTGGTGGGACATGTGCAGCATTTCTATGCTTGTACTGATCAAATAACAATAGCCTTGGAATTGTAACACACACTAACGTCATTAAATTATAATCAACACACTCGCTATTCATACTCAGGAAATCACCTATCCAGCCCCACCACCCTGAAACACACACACACATGCATGCACACCTCTCCCCCCACCTATCTCTGTTTTCTTTATTGGAGACATAATGTAAACATTTGCTCTAAAAATATTACGGGACCCGGCGTACAGAGCAACGATGCATAAAACAAAACAAAGACGGCGGCGATGTGACACAAACATAGCATGACTGATGAACATGAACATAATGAAAGGATCAGCTGAGTTCTTAAACTATAACAAGTAGATTCAGGTAAAGGTAGTGGAGGAAAAAGAAAGCTATAATATTGTGAACCACAAGTATATAATCAAACAAAATGGAAAACTGCATTATCCGATTTCTTGTAAACACCACATTGACATGTAGAAAACGTGTTGGGAAGTAATTTCCTATTACGGAAAAACATCCAGAAGACTGTGGATTTTGTCCACCATCCTCTTTCTCTCCTGTCAACCAGTTCTCACTCCCATTGCGTCAAATACCGCAGCTTCGTCAGGGCCTCATGGTGTCTGATACCGACGCACTGAGGCCCTCTTTGGCATTTGTATGCGATGCACCAGGCTTGCAACTAACTCCAATGTAAACACACACATACTGATGTAATATAAAGTGCGGGATAGTCCACACAGGGCAGGCGCGAGGACAAACACCAGCATTTCATCGAGGAGACTGTTCGTGTCTCCTGCGAAACTAAAGGTAAACATTAACATTTTGTCACGTCAATCGTTCGTCAGTCGCTAGTCATGTGCCTCGTTTTGTCAGTGAAGTCAAAGTCAACCACGCTCTTTTTCTAAACATAGCTAAGTGGATTTATTGCCGAAACCTAACATGCATATATTAACACACCGTCCCTAACACGTCCAACACTGTCGCTACAGGGTAGAGCGGCATAGTTTGAAACTTAGGAGCACTAACAAAGCTGCAGTATTTTGATGACAATGTGTTGGTTCTGTCTCTTTCTGCTCTTCATTAAAAACTTTTATAATACAAAGTTGTCGCACAACATAAACACAACTATATAGACCAATAACAACACCTGTATTGTGTAAAAAACTGTACTTGCATTAAAGATAAGTGGTCAGATAGAGGTGACCAAAAGTTGTCTGCTTAACAGTATCTCATGCTGCCTCTACTGGTATTTAGATTCATCTGAGAGAATTTCTGTTGGTTGTGAAAACCGACTTTCTGTGAACAGATGGTCAAAATAGAAAGAAAACGATGCATATTCAAATGTAGCTCCGTGTGGGCATAATTCCTGCATGGCGCTTTTGCCTCTTTTCTGATTGTCCCTTCCTAATTCCTCAGTATATCTCATATCCCTTTGACTTTCTATTGTGCCCTAGGTCAACTGCTGTTACCTGCTGGTCTCCAGCTCTTAGGCTGTGGACAGTCACTGGATTATTGGAGGAAACTTAGTCTGTCAACAGCAAGTGTTGACATTTGGGCTTAGGAGATAAACCTGACAAGGGATCAAACAAAGACTGGCCCTTTTAACTGAAGAGCGGAGTGTGGGTGTTTGTGTGTGTGCGTCTGCATGAATGTTTGTCTAAAGAGGTTTCAGTGTTGCAAATTTGCAGCTGACAACCTTAGCCTATGTGGAAGGATGCTGATATTGTCTGAGGGCACACCTTTTAATGATTCAAAATACATAATGATGAATCTGTATCTAGAATATTTTCAGGCTTGTAACGTTTAGTCTTATTTGTGTATGGTACTTGTAGAGAGGTATCACAATTAATTTGACAATGATGTAATAATCTTTAACATATGCTTCACATAGCAGCTGTAACACTGGTTAATGGAGTGTAATGATGCAGGCAGGAGATAATAAAAAACAATACTGTGGGCTACTGTAACATAGAGCAGGTCAAGGCTTGGCTCTTCCTCAGCCCTGATGAAGTGTCAATCACATTGGAGTGAGGGATGGTAATAAGGATGGTAAAGAAAAATTGGATGGAGAAAGGAGAGCATCAGAGGG